GAGAGAAAGAGAGAGAGAAGCTTTTGGAGCTGGAAATTGCAATTACCATATGTTTCCTTGAAGCTCCTCACGACTCTGAATGCCCTGAGCTTTGGCACTTTCGCACTTTGAGAGCCTAGTCTATCAATAGAGTTGCACAAGTCCTTGACAAGGGCCATGTTTTGTTGCAGGGTTACAATGCACATCTTGAAGGAGTCCATAAAGGCTCTAAAGTCATGTAAAAGCCTCCAATACCTGTGTCATAGATACCATATCTTTTATCCACATCGGCCTCTAAGATCCGATCTGAGCCTCCAAGGTGGTGAAGCTCTACTCCACCCATTGTCTTGGACCCCTCTTAGAATTCTATAAATATTAAAGGGTCTGCAATATTTTTCATAGATGACTTTGAAATCTAAATTCCATTTCTTAGTGTAAGAATACACATCCCATCTTTCTAATTATTCCTTCCTTTTATAATATATGTTTGTCGTGTATAAATTTGTGACAACTCGGAAACTTTGTAAGCAATTTTATGACATCTATTTATTTGAGTTTAGCTGGGGTATGGAACGTTAGTCAGCACTATTGTTGTTGTGAAAGATATTATGTGTCATTCTTGAAATCATTGTTTGAAAGTATGAATTTCATATTATATTATTTACATGTCTTGAGTGCACAAATTTAAGAAATTATCGATGTTTGGTTTACTTGCTTTTCTAATGATGATACGTGAAGTTATTAGAATTTAACAATAAGGATTATGAGGCTTGATATTTTGTTCTTTTCTCGAGATTTTGTTGTTTGCTATTTGTCTATCAATATAGACATGTTGGTGTTGTGTTCACTAACAATGGCTCTATACAAGTTGAGAATGGCGATTCAAGTCATCATATGAATACACGGTCTTCTAATAGAGTATTGTTTTTTCTCCAGGATGTGCCTTATGTTTGTGAATTACGATGGTCAAAACAATCCAGTTTAAAAGAAGCATTGCATCAATTACGTGAGGTATTTTAATTAAAGCGTGTTTGTATTTTCTTTTAGCGGACATTACCATTTCGATGGATCATGCTATTTGCCTAATAACTTATGTTCTTGTCTTTATGCACGGTCAATGCTAAATGTAATTTTGTAACTTCAGCATGAGAGGAGTAAATAAAATGCCTCCGAACTTATATTGCAAACCATTTGTTTCGATGCTTCTCTCCTCCTCTAGCTCTTGTCCACCTGACTTGCTAGGTGACGCTGACTTTGTAAATACCCGTACTAACCTCTCTTTACACCCAATTGACTAGTATCCCCTATGTCTGCACCATAGTTACGGAACCGTGTGGTGTGGGTCGGTCCCACCTTGGGAATCCTGTGGCTCCTGTTGAGGGATCTTGTAGTTGTAGGGACTCCGGTTCTTAGAATTTGGGATCTTGCTCCCAAAAAAAGGGGATCGGGTTACATCTAAAATTGGAATCCGATTCTATTTCAGAATATATCCACTCTCCCAACTGCTATCGTCCAATGTTTTCATATATCAAAATCTTATGTTTCATGTTGTGTACTTTCATTACGTAATGATATCGAGTTAGTAATTACCATGGAGTCCCAAGTTCCTATTATTTAGGATTCATATGTTCTATGATGGTAGAATCCAGACCCTTGTTTCGCATAGCATGAAGTCCCATTATTTTAAATTCTTAGCTTGAACTTTGAAGTCATAGTTCCATTATTTCAAATTCTTATAGTTTTGGACAGTGTTCGCAAAACCGGGCGATCTAAACTTTTGTAGGATCACAATGATGAATTCATAGAGATTCTTCAAGTTTTTCTTCTATTTCAAAAAGAGTAAGCTATCCCTCTTAAGTTGTGAGAATATATTTGTTATATCATTATTTCATCTGCATTAGGAAAGTGGACAAAAGTAAGAGAGAGAGAGAGAGAGAGAGAGAGAGAGAGAGAGAGAGAGTAGTTTTATTTTCCTCTTGCCCTTTGGAGAGCCAGCCTTTGGGAAACAATTGAAGTAGAGGAGCCTGAATTCTAAGAAGATGACCCTTGAGTGGTAGGATTCTTGGTTGTCTGGGACTGAGAGGGAATGGTCCATGCCAAACATACGTCAAGGCCTGAAGATGTTGTGAGAGGGACATGCTTTGGTAGTGGAGCATTGTGACGGGCCTCATCATCAGCATCAAGGCAGTCATATAATGCTTCTGAAGCCCCAGCGTCGTCCTCGAGATTGTCATCATTAGGATGAAAATCCCACCCTTTGTACTTCTCTCCATAATCTGATCGTAGTCTACTTAACAACCTTTCATTGTAGTAAAATGTAAACTAATGACTCGGAGTGTTGAGCATTTAACCTGTTCTTCTTAACATTGTGAATATAACTATATGTACTCTAGCATCTCTCGACACATGATGAGTTGACACTTTGAGACAACACCTTAACAGCTAGAGAGTATAATTAAGTGATCACACCATCATATAGATCCCACCACGAAACAACTACCATAGTTCCTCTATCGGAAATGGATGCTAAAGATCCTTTATTATTTACAAAATCACTGATGTGCTGTCGTATTCTGCCCCTCTCATTCTCATCTAGTATGATTTTGAATATATTTTATCACTCTCTTGGCATCATGGTAGTGACTCTGCACAAAACTAAAAGTTGGGTTCTTCTTATCTTTATCAACAATGTCTTTCATAACGAGGCTCATAGTGTATGCTAAACAATCCTGACCACAAAATGTTGGGATGGCGGCGTTGGATTATTGTCCCTACACATCGTCAATTTGTAGCATTATCAGTAACCACTTGAACTGTGTTATAGGTTCCAATGGAGTTTATCGCCTTCAAAAGAATATTGGTTATGTTTTGACTGATATTTTCCTTGGAAGAGCAATCATGTCCATCGAGGAACATTGCCTCCACCCTCGAAACTGCAAAGACATTGATCAAAGAATCATTTTTAACATTGCTCCATCCATTTGATACCATAGGTTGTCCAATCATTCCTCAGGGAAGCCAGTGCCCTCTCGATCTTGCTTCTCTCCCTATCCAACAAGGATGTCCTAACATATTGAGGAGGCATGTAGCCTTTTGGCCCATGATTAATGGCATATACCATTTCGTGGAATTTGGGGCCATTGGAGACATTGAATGGGATGTTGTGAGCGTTAGAAGAACCGTGATATTGTGGCATCAACTTCTTCCCTCACTTGAGCACAAACGTATGAGAGAGTTTGTCTTTTTCTATGGGCTGAGGTTTCAAGAGAAATAAGAAGGTTTTGGTGAGAACGGAGTTTTTTGCTTCTTTACCCTCCCGTGCAGCTTAACTGCCTCTTCCTCTTCTTGCTTCAATGCCTCCCTTTCTTTTCTTGATACTTTAGAACACTTTGCAATTCCCTCAAACACTTGCCACAGGGGGGTGCCCAATAAATGGGCTCGCAAACAAACATAGGAGCCAGTGTATGGAGGTTCTCTACAATTGAAATTGTACATCCAGTTTCTGGCCCCTTTGTTACCTTTTTTTGGTTGCCCATCGACCCTTGTAACATATCTCCACAAGGGAGCAGAAGTGGCCTCCTCTTCAACATCATTGGGTTTAATACTTAATTTAATTATAAATGTGGCCCACATATTGCAGCCCAGGGGTGGAGACAACATGGGAGTAGCGCTCCACACCTCAAGAAGATGGCTATTCGGATCTTGAGTTTGACAATTAGATGTTATGGTTGTGAGCGCAATTGGAGTTCGTTTGAGATGGTATTTTATATTCTTTTCTTGTTTAAGTTCATTTTTCTAATATAGATTCCTAAAAGATAATAGATATAAACATATCTTTTTGATAATGTTAACTAAATAGATATAAACATATTAACATATGATAGAATACATTACTAATATAAAGAAGACATTTATGAGAGGGAGGTCCATATTTCAAGGTCTAATGAGCGTCACCATCCTCACATTGCTTATCATGAGTTATAAGGCCTCCTGTCCTCTTGTTTTGATTGAAGTTTGTATTGAAGGAAAACACCTTACACCACTAGGACAACTTATTTCCAAATGGTGGATGTCTAGGGCCATTTCAAGAGAATTTGTATTTTTCTCCCTATGGGAGGGTTATATTGTTTGCAAATGGGTGAAAGACAATGGTATCATCATGATGACAAAGTAAACAAATGAAATAAAGCATACATTGTTGTCCCTTACGCCTATCCTAGCGGTTTGGCCATGGATTTGCTGTCTTCTTTTACCTCAGGATAGAAGCATGCCCCAGGTTATGCCCTGAGCTCTTCCCTTTTCCTTCCTTGCTAGTTTGGATACTAAAATTAGTACTTTCCTCACATTCTCACATGCCAGTTGGAGATTGTCATTGGAGATACCTACTGGGTCATGCACGACTCTCTTCCTCCATGTTGACCTTATTATGCTATATAGGAAGTGAACCAAATGCTATGAGGATTTCCCTGTTAATCGATCATCTCTTATTAGGCTCCTAAAAGCATTAGATTCCCATTCAATTCCTTCTCCTTGAACTGACTTAAATGAGCTGCAAATTCAGCTCTTCCCAGTGTATAAAAAGGCGCTAGGAGGGTCCTAGGCGGCGTGGGGGTTCCAGGCTTCCTAGTGCCTAGGCGGGCGCCCAAAACCTAGGTGGCTGCCCAGTTGAAAAAAAAGTAAAAATCCAATACACCATATTCCAATTTGAAAAAAAAAAAAAAAAGAATAGAAGTCGAGACGAGAATTTTGATAATCCATATTGTTAAAACAGTAAACTGTAAAACTATACAAGTGTAGGATATAAAAGTCAACACTCAACACAACAGAGTCAGAAATATATAGAAATTTAGAAAATATACAGTCTAACAAAAGTAACACTCATGAATCAACACAACAGTCAACAGACTCAACACTTAGCAGTCAGCACCAAGTGACAAGAGTCTTTAGTCATCGTCATCATCATCATCATCATCAGAAGGAACACCAATAGGGCTAGCCTCATCATATGCATCAGAGTCGAGGCCATCATCATCAGAGTCATCTCCCTCTTCAATGTAATGCTCGTCCTCCTCAGTTTCTTCTGAATCTATCTCTTCTTCTTCTACCTTCCTCTTACTAGTATGTGTAGTCTGTGCAGATGGGGCCCTAGGAGTCTTGGCTGCTCTAGCCTTTTTTTTGTGCTTCTCTGAACTCAAATATTGTATAATTTCCTCTTTGGTAGCCTCAGGAACATTTTTACATGGGGCAACATCCCCTGTAATATCGGCAAGGTGTTTTTTAAACCGATAAATGCCCCCATTAGTATTCTTTCCACAATAATTACATTTAATATGATTTTTATCACTTGGATTCGGGTTATAACCATACTTCCAACCCAGATCACCACTCCGACTAGAAACTGGAGAAGATACTTCCATAGAACAATGCTTATTTTCATCTTTTTTTGGTTCTTCAAAATTCAAAAGATGTCTAATCTCATTTCGAACTGCTTCAGGAACCTTTGTACAAGAAGCAACATTACCTTTAACACCAGCAAGGTATTTTTTGAATCGGCTAATACCACCATTGGTATCTTTTTCACAAAAATTACACCTTATACAATTTTTATCATTTCGTTTTGGGTTGTATCCATACTTCCAACCCGGATCACTTTTTCTAGGAGTAGCAGAAATAGATCTATGACAAGGATTTTGTTCTTGTTTTGTTTTTCCATAACTTAAAAATTGCTTAATCTCTTCCTTGATAGCTTCATGAACATTTTTACAAGGGGCAACATCCCCCTTAATACCGGCAAGATGTTTCTTAAACCGGTTTATGCCTCTTTTTGTATCTTTTTCACAAAAATTGAATCTAACACAATTTTTGGCATTTGGATTCGGGTTGTATCCATATTTCCAACTCGGATCTCCACTCCGACTAACTCCTGAAGAAGGCATCTCAAAATAAAACAAGCAATCTAAAAAATGCACTTAATTTGGTTGCTTGAACTTCAAACTTTGAAAAACACTTCGATGATTCGATCCAATGAAATGTAGTTTTTTTGAGGTTTCTGTTACTCTAAAAGGGGTTCTGGTGGGTTTAGGGTTCGGATGAACCTAAAAGCCATCATTCTTAACTTTTATATCTTTGAAAAAAATGAGAAAAAAAATAAAAAAGTTCTTCGCCTCTAGGGAGGGTGCAGGCCGCCCAGTTTTACCGCCTAGGTGGCCGCCTAGGCGCTGAGTGGTTCGTTCTTTTGAACTATGGCTCTTCCTCTCCACACTTCTCTGTTCACCTCACATTGTCTAGACTTGGAAGGATCAATTCCGACTCACATCATCATTAAAGTAGTGGCAATGCTGTGAACTTCATGACGCCTTGCTCTATCAATTCTTCCTCATCCTCTGCCAGAGTAGATTTACTAGGATGAGTTTTGGATTATTATTCTTGTGGGCAGGTCACTCATTTTTAGCATTAGCTAGCATGTGTATGTATTGGATTATTGGATAAAACTATGGATCTCAATGGTGGTTTTCACAATAAGTTATCAACTTTTATTTCAATGTAGAGTATCTAGTTCTGTTCACCTTCAGTCATTTTAATCCATCTTGTTTTCATTTTGAGTGTTGTCTCCTTTCCAAGTAAGCCTAAGTTCATTTTCGAAGTTTATATTCTAATGGTACAGTTTATTTTCCAAGTTTAATGCTACTTAGATGCTTTCATATGTAGCTCTTCCTTGATCAATAGTATCTTGGCACTTATATTTTGCCAAATTTAACAACCATTCATATGATATGTTGTTCAGCATTTAAAGATATTTCAGGACCTTTGGTCTACTATAGACGAGATTGATAAGGAGCTCTGGGTAATTCAGTCGGGAAGATCCAAGCGTTGTAGTTCCTCTGTCCAACTAGCACTGGGTACGTCGTTTGTTTAACTTTTCCTGTTATTTCTTCAGCTGTAAATAAGTGCGTGCAGATTTGACAATTATTGGTTTGTTATACCAGGAAATGACTGTTTCATGTTGCTGTTTATAGATGTGGGAAACCCAACATCATTGCCAGAGTAAGATTTTGTTGAGAGTTCCTCCGCTTTCTTTCTTGGTGTTAATTTGTTCTGTTTGTTCTGATAATTGCCTTTTAGTTTTGTAGGTGTCGGTTTCTTGGTCCAGATTCAATTGTGAATAGATTGAAGCTTATGTGGGAGAGGAATACAAGAAAATGGTATGTTTTATCACCTTCTCTAATTTCAACTGATTGTTGTTAGTTTTTTAAAGGGATTGTCAAGTTTGAGAGTGCGCACGTACTTGTACATATTTTGAATTAATTGTATTGCACATTTTTGTGTATGCGTCTTGTCCTAGCTTTTGGATTTATGCATTATTATTATTATATGTTTTTGTGCCTCAGTTGATGAAATTGTCTTGAAAAATGCGCATGAACATGGTGAGATAAAATGAATAATCAAACTCCAAATCGTAGTTGCATTCAGTAGGAGCTACTGTTGCAGAAGGATGTTAGTTTCCTGAAGGGCCAAAGTTTGGGAGCACTTTAAATATTGCCCATATGAATATCTTTGTTTGTGTCTATTTTTGCAACACTGTAATTTATTCATTAGAATCAATCACCTAGTTCTTCTAAAATTATAAAGTTATCCATCTGAAATAATTCTACTGCAAAACTACTTTCTTACAGATCATGAGCAGATTGACTTCATGGATCTCCATTACTGCCCGTTGCATTAAACAACACTTTTTATTTTGTACCATATGAATATAAGACTAAAATGTTTACAATGGTTACTTTTCAAGTACCAAATGCTGGTCAGTGGACAAAATTCACCAATAAATAATGTCCAAAAACCCGTATTGCTAAGAAAATGATCTCTTTAACGGAAGTCTCAGAATATTTTCATCCAAAAAACGTTGCAAATACACTATTGATTTGGAGGAATGTACACAATTCACTATTGATATGTGAGGCATGTATCAGCTGATAATTGCTCTGGATCTGCCAAGTAGTTTACTGCTGATCTTTCTTTGTCCATGTTCAATCATCCTTACATTATCATCCATTTTACGGCTTTAACAGATTTTCTTTGAAGATCTGAACATGACTCTGGTAAATTCTCTCTTTTCCTAAAATATGTCACTTCCTTGTTAATAGTTGGTTGGAGATTGTGGTTTCTGTAAATTCCAGTTGGGTCGTGTAGAAAGTATAACCATGCTATTTTGACTGCATTTCTACCCTTATGTCTTTGGCCTAAAAGCACGTGCGCTGTTACTTATTTTCCAGTTGCTCCTTTTCCTGCACTATTGGACACATTGTGTTTCGTCTTTTGTAGAAAGTACATTTGCTTGTGTTGTTTTAATTATACCTAATTCTGTTATTCTTTTCTTCGTCATGCAAAGCATGGCCTTGTGCAATTCCACCCCTGCTGGGCCTCTGCTGAAATGATGAGTATGCAGTCACTCTTTGATTTCATATTGCTGAAATGATGAGTATGCAGTCACTCTTTGATTTCATATTCTTGTCCGTCCACACTAGAATTTCATCCAGCAAAGTAGAATTTCTCCATTTGCTTGGGTGTGTACATGGTTTCAGACAGCATAATGCGCATCATCTTCATTTATGTGTGAAAACTTTATATTTGATTTTATACTTTTCATTTGAACCATTTTTTTTTCTCGAAATTCTTAAAAGTCTGCTTTCTTTATAGTGATCAGATTTAATTTGGAAAATGCCAAACTTGTCATTGGAGAGCATCTTGAATGGCTCCCTAAACAAAAGAAAGACACAAGAAAACCATTCATCCTAATATTTGTTATTTTTCATTCTACCATGTTATTTCAAATCAGTGTTTAAAAAAACAGATCGGTGACCTGAATCGGTGTCCCCCATATTCGTGTCAAATCGTTAATCGGTGGATCAATTCGGAGAATTGGCCGAATCAGCAATTTTTGTCCAAATGTTTTTTCAGAAACTCACTATAAATATCTAAAAATATTGATCTTTTAGTTTATAAAAAAAATTCGGAGTGGTGCATTATGTACTTTAATTACCTATAAAAAATAGGTCAATTTGAGATTCTGTTTTCCTGTCTGGATGTCTGTATAATTATTAATTATAATATAATATTATAATATTGTATCAAAATATTTTTAAAATATTAGAAAACACTTCTATATTATAAGATTAAAAAAAAATATTTCCCATATAAAGTGAAATTAGTATCACATCAAACATTTATTAATTCTCTTTTATCACAACCTAACTAACTATAATATTATACATTGAAATTGGAATCATCAGTTTATATATTATAATCATCTTACTATACTAATTAGAATAACTTTTGAAATTTGTCTTATAATATCATCTAATTTATAAAAAATTAATTTATAATTATAACAAAAAATAGTACATTGTATAATATATAATGTAAATAAATTAATACATAAAATATAAGACTTGGTCATCTATTTAATTAGTATAATTGTTAATTATTGTTGAAATTCACATGCTATAACTTCATCCTTCTCTTCCCTTCTGGTTGCTAATTGCTTTTCATTTTTGACTTTGTTTCTCTCCATTATGATACGGCTAACATAGTTTGTGATGAAACATTGTTGTAGAAAACAACTAAGGTTATTTCTGATGAAACCTTGTTATAAAAATCTTCATTAGGAAAAGGTTACGACCCGGTGACCCAAAATCTCTCTCTCTGACTCATTTGGATTGGTAAGGGAATCGTCCCACATTGAAGAGATGTGAGAGCAAACGACCAATATTAAATGCTGTGAACTCAATTTCCCACGAGGATGTGATGGGGATGGAATGGCCACAAGAAAGCTTGGAAAGGTGAACGTGTGATGAAGGGGCCAAGTTTGCTGACATATGCAGCGGGCCTATTTTTGAAGTAACTTAAATAATTTTCAAAAAGTCCAAAAACACCGTTTCATGATGTCAATATATACGGACAGGTGACATGTGACCGATTCTTTATGTCATAAGAGTGATTTGTGACGTCATCCTACTGATTCCACTTTTCAAAACGGCCAGATCCCGTTCCCTAAGTGGATCCGGGACGGTCTGGGAGATACATTACCCGATTCCTGATTGGATCACCAATTTTTTAAACACTTTCAAATTAACTGCTCCTGTAGGTGCCAATAATAATTTGTGTATCATGATGTTGTGGAGCTATACATAATTCACGCTATTCTTCTATTTGTTGTCTTGTATCACTATAAATCTATGTCCATGATTTCTGAGTTCACTGTTTCAAGTTCAATAATGATGTGTCGGATTAAAGAAGTTTGTACAATGACATATGCAGTTTCATTTGTTCACTGAACCATGTAATTGACATTCACTGGTACCAATTCAATTTTCTAAATAGGAGATCTGATGTCTCATACCGTGAAAATCTTGAGAATATTTTGGAAATTAAGGTACCTGGACCTCCCAGGGACGTTACTCATGAAGCAGCAGTTGACTGTGGAATTTGTTATGCCCACTTCCTTCCTGAGGGTATGCTCTTTTTGTTTTCCACATTTGCAGTTTACTGTTTTATATTGTTAATTTTGCTCTCTATGTCCATGAAGATGGCGAGCTTGGAGCCAAGAGAGGAAGTGTGCCTGACTATACCTGTGATAATCTCAGCTGCAGTAGAACTTTCCATAGCATTTGCCTCATAGATTGGCTGCGTTCTATTACGACAACAAGGCAGTATGTTGATAACATTACCACTCAATGTTTAGAAAATCAGGGACCTAGGCTGGACTTGCAAAAGTTCAGACTCTAAAGTCAGTGCTTGGTCTGGATGTAAAAGACCTAAACTAGAGTGATTCTCACCAAGTCCCTGACCCCTTGACCAAGAGGCTTGGCTGAATCAAAATGTCGATTCGGCCGAGCCCGTGGCTGACTTGGACTAAGTTCTCTAGCAAGTTTGAGGTCGAGTCATTCCTTTAATCCACTGTTTTTGACCATATTTCTTGTTTATTTCATTTCAATAATTCTTTTTTGCCTTAATTAAAGTATTCCCATGATAATGGTTTCATGACATATATGCGTATGCTTGCAGGTCATTTGATGTCTTATTTGGCAACTGCCCATATTGTTCTGGTCCGGTTGCAATTAAATGGAGTATGCTTGAGTAAAATTAATGGAGACATGAATTGTTGTTTGCGTACATTTCTTATAATTTCTTTATTGTCTTGTAATTGCCACTCTCATTTATCAGTTTTCCTATATTTGTAGCAGTTGCAGTCTTATATGCCGAAATATGAGCTATGTTTCTTTTCCGATTTTTCCAGTATTTTCTTATTTCCTCATTTTTTTTTTCATATTCAGTGATATTTTCCATACTGTGTATATGTGTCTAAGCACACCACATCTATGGTCCTACATTGAGAAAAGAGCGATTTGCACTTGAATCAGTTCAGTTGATTCAATGTCATATGGATCTTCTCGAATTTGTTTTGAATAGCATATCAATCTTCTCCACCATTATGCTGTTAATGTATTATCTCATGCACCCTCTCTCTCTCACTCTCTCTCTCACTATCTCATCCGTCCCATTCCTGTTTCATCAGAGGCACATGTCAAAAGTTGTTCTTTATTGTTTTGTGAATGGTGACTTCAAGATTTCTCCCTTAAACGATGCAAAAAACAAAGCAAATACCTAAGGTGAATTTGCTTTTTACATCCAAAGGTGGTTATCAAGGGGTATTTACTTTTACATTCGAAGGTGGTTGATTTACCTCCCCCATAGCCAACTGATCTGCATCTACTTTCACCTCACGATAGAATTAGATGCTCGCATGTCACAAACATATAACAATTGTTATTCAAATTAGATGTCTGTCTTCATATGGCTAGGGAGTCTCCTTTGTAGTTGATCACATTTAAAGAGAATATTCAATGAGTGGAGATGTGCTATGCAGTACGAGCCTCATATAGAGCTGTGGCCATGTGACATGATGAGAAGAAGCTGTAGATGCACTCATGAAGCAATGAGAGTGGCTCACATCACATGTGATAGTTCCACCCTCAAAAGTACACAAACAGGTAAGGCCTTGAAGCAAAGCTGCAATTTCTGCTTCATTCATGTTGTTATACCACAAGGTCCTCAGAATAATAACACGATATTCCCTCTATGATCCTTGTCACTCCTTGTCTAGCTCTACCTGTATTTCTATGGGAGCTCTCATATAAATTTAGTTTTAAATTTCCTACTAGTGATGTACATCATCTATCTAATCTCACCTATCTTATGGGTGAAAATTGGGCATAGCTCCTTGTCTAGCATAGCTCTCTCTGAATTTGGAAATGATATCTTGCCTACTAATTTCCGAACATTAATTTTGGATTGAAGACACTTACAGATGTATTAGCTAGGATATTCTCTTTTAGTTGGTGGATATCTGTCATTTCAGGTTGATAAGTACTTTGATTTCTTTCTCTCCACATATTCCATTGCACAACTAATATGACAGCTTTCCACATAATAATAACTTTTTTTGATAGGTATGAGAATAAACATTGTTTTACAAAGAGCTGTGAACTTAGGAATGATAAGTCGGAATCTACTAATTGTGATACACATCCATAACTCGAGCATATGAACAATGGATGAAAAGATGATCACCACATTCTTCATTACTTTTTTTAACTTTTTGCACATCAAGCACACATTGATCAGGATTATACATTCTTATGGGATTATCAATATGAGGAGTTTACTTTGTCTTGTTATCCACACAGTGCTCGTATGGGGGTAGGTAACCTCCAAGCTACTAGTAAGATTTTCTTAAAAGTTATGTCTATTTGCATATGATAGTTCAATTGTGATTTTACTGGGAACTGGTTTGGTGCAGTTAATTCCTGTGTGTGCTTGTCACTTTTTGAGGTGAGCGGTAGATCAATTATAGGTCTTCCATAAAGTTGGTGAATTGTTTGATAGAAGTGTTTAGGACTCTCCTAGATACATTGGATGGACCGTTCATTTGTTTGCCCCTGATTTGAAGCCATATCATTGATAGTTGCCAAAAATTGGGTTACCTTTGCAAAACTTCTATGATAGACAAATCCGAGAGGCCATATCTTCGGACCACTTATCAAATAAAGAGCTAGTCATCTCCTTTGCCACTTTGTGTGCTATTATTTCTGATGAACAGAGTCTGCATTAGACAATTACTTACCAAATAGTTGATAGGAAGGATTTATTATTTGCAATTTTTATTACGTTGATTCCCACTTCCACACCATATTTGTTTTTCAGTACTTCAACTAAGAATTTTGCTCTATACTTCATCCGTCTCGACCAACATTTGGTCAAGATAGCTATGTTCATTAAATTCAGTCTTCGAATGCTTGAACTACCATAATTTTTTGAGGTGCACACTTATCCGCCTTTTGTTGAGTAAATTTTCTTGAGGTGCATACTCATCCGCCTTTTGTTGAGTAAATTTTCTTTTTTTTTTCTTGATGTATACAACGAGACCATTTACCTTTTATACAAGGTGGTCACATTCATGTACAACCATCCAATGTGAAATCTGATAGCTTGGGTGTGTCACAAAGTTCGAAAAAAATTCATTTGAAGTTTGAGCTTGGTCAATGCAGCCATTTAATTTCACATCCAATGGTCAAGATTAATTGTGATCACCTTGTACTGAAGAGGAATGGTCTCATTATATACTTTTCCTTAACTTAAAGGGCCGTTTGGATTCATGGAAAGAGATTATGTGGAAAAATCTTCCTCTGTAATGTATTTCAAGAAAAAGTATTTCCTAAAAAATAGTTTTTGGCTGTTTCGATTGTACATCGATGTATAGCATTTTCATGTTTTCATTAAATATTTTTTTACTTGTATTATCGTAATATGGTTATTTTTCATTAACTTTGAGATAGTTTCACTCTTTAAAAATTTTGTGATAATTTCTCTCTCTTTCTCTGTAAAGATTTTGAGATAGTTTATTTCTCTAAACCTTTAAAATCGAGATAGTTTCTCTATAAAAATTTTGATATATTTGCTCTTAAAAAAATTTAGGTACTCTCTCCCTCTAAAACTATAGTTTCTCTCTTTAGGACTTAAAATATGAGTTAGCTTATTTCACTAAAAATTTTGAGATAGTTTCTC